ACCCTTTTTCCATTCTGCCCTGGTATTCTGACCAGCTACATCTGACCATTTAGGTGTTAAAGGTAACTTCCAATTTCTAGCTATTACGAGCTTTATAAAAAAAAATTAAAAAAAAGGTGAAAGGGGAGGCAGCACCACAGGTGAAAAAACAACTTGATTAAAAACTATACAAGCACATATGCAAGACACTATATAAGAGGAAATACATACAAGATGAAAGAAAACAAAAACAGTTTGAAATATGGATAATGAATAATAATCAAGAGTCCAAAAAGTAAGTCTAAAAGGGTCTATGCCTGATAAATACAGCAGAAAGTTCAAATAAAACCTTGTATAAGAAGTCACAATCTTGTCAGGGGAAGTATTCCTCAATAAAGTATGGGCATAGGATATTCCTGAAATCCATATGAAAAATAAATAAAAAGACAGCAAATAATGGTGCAGTATATCACAACAGGTACTAAGTACTATTTTGTAAGAGGTCTATATAGCCCTACTCACGTTTTCCAGAGCTATAAGACTAGCTCTAGTGTGGATGGCATACAATGGTACAATCCCCACTTATGGGATACGTGAAGTTTTGTAGTAGATGGATATCTTGTTGATATCCATCTAATACAAAACTTCACATATCACGTATTGGTTTTCCTAACGGGGCGATTTGAGATAAGTTGTGAATATTACAGTTTACCCACTTCGTTAAGTCTTGTATGACTTCAATGGGAGTTGATTGAAGGAGTTTATTAGAAATTCTCAATTTGCTCTTAAATATTTTTAATGCCATTATTATGTCATCCACAATTATATTCGAAGAGGTAAAAAATGTATAGTACTTAGAATTAATCCAGGCTAAATTGAATAAATAAAAATAAATGCCATAAATTGTTTCTTAAACTGAACAAGTAGGTATCTTGGAACTCTTAGAGGTAAGGAACGAAACAAGTAGGTCAGTTTTGGTAGAATATATGCAGAGATTATATTCAGGCTGCCAAGCCAAGAAATTTCGAGGTCTTTCCAATTTTAAAGATTTTCTTTAAATGATTTTAGTAATACCATATAATTATCCTCCACTATCCTATTCATGTCAATTCTAATACAGATTCCAAGATATTACATTTTTCATTATTCCAATTCCAATTAAACCTCTCTTTCAATTTCTCCAAATCATTTGGAGTTATATTTGCTGTTATTATTTGAGTTTTATTCATGTTGATTTTGTATCCAGAATATCTACCAAATTCAATAATTACTACTAGAACTTGTGGAATGGATATTAATGGGTAAGTGCCTTCACAGAACGGAGGAGAGATCAGAGATTTCCCTCACCAGTCCACTGGCAGCCAGCACGGAGGAAGGAGAGAGAGAGAAGACCCGGGAGCTCTACCCCCACAGCCCCCACAGTCCCCACAGCCACGTCTACAGCCCCCTATACACACACTTCTCCTCCATACACACACACTTCTCCTCCATAAACACACTTACCCCACTTTATCCCCATACACACACGTCTCCCCCATACACACTGCACCCCCACACACTGCACCCCCACACACATTCTCCCCATACACACAGTGCTCCCCATACAAACACTGCACCCCCATACACTTCTCCCCCCACACACACCACACCCCATACACAAAGTGCTCCCCCACACAAACACACTGCACCCCCACACAAACCCTGCACCCCCACACACATCTCCCCATACACACAGTGCTCCCTCCATACAAACACTGCACCCCACACACTTCTCCCCCACACACACTCACCCACATACACACAGTGCTCCCCACACAAACACTGCACCCCACACCCATCTCCCCACACAACTGCACCCCCATACACACAGTGCTCCCCCACAAAAAACACACACTGCCCCTCCTACACACAGTGCTGCCACTGCACCCCCATACACACACTTTCCCACATGCACTGCCTTTCGTACACACACACACACACATATACACACACACACACTCTGCACCCCTCACACACTGCCTCCCATACCCACCCTGCATCCCTCACACACTCAGTGCCTCCCATACACACACACACACACACACACTGCCTACTCTCACACACACACACACACACACACTCTAATAGAGGCCCTATCCCCTACTACAGCCCCTATCCTGACAGACCCAGGTAAATTGCCAAACTGTTCTTAAACAGTTTGACTATTGTCAGGGTTTCTATGCTGTTTTAAACAGCAACCCTTCCTTTTTCAGTGTCTGAGTTTTCAGCTGAGATTAATGATCAGCTCCTTCAGTATGTTGCCACGGTTACTCACCTGACAATAGTAATCAACCCTGCTGCTAATCAGTGCAGCCTATTTAAGCAGCTAATCCCAGTACCTCCTTGCCCTTGCGTGGTTTCCTGTTGCCCAGAAGTCTCCTTGTTCCTGTGTTTCCTGTTTGTTCCTGGTTCCTGACTCTGGTTTTGTTCCTGACTCCGCTGCTCTCCGTTCTCCTGATCCTGGCTCGTCTGACTACCCGCTCTGGTGACTGACCCCTGCTTGCCTCCTGGACTTTGCTTTTGGTTATTTCTTTATTTGTTATTTATTAATAAAGGTGTTTTTGCATCTAGTTCTGTCTGGCTCCTGGTCCCTAACAACTATTTACTCTGGGAGGGCGCCAGGGCACTCCTGGCACCACAACAACTACAGAGAGCTGTAGTGGTTATTGTGCTTGGATTGTTTCTTTAAATAATCTATGAGTGCCCCTCCTGAGATAAGACTCTGGATCCGCCTGTGCAATCAATGTACCTTCTAATATTTGATCCAGTCTGTTTATTATTTTTTGGAGAAATCTAATCGGGTTTTGATTGGGACTATAGATGTTTGCTAAGGTATAGGTAATATTGATCTTACATATCAAGACAATGTATCTACCATTTTTGTCTGTCTCCTCATAGATAGATTTAAATTTAACTCTATTAGAAATTATTATTGCCACCCGTCTCTTTTTTTGTTTTTTTAGATTAAATTGATAAATTAATGTGAAATGAGAAAAACTCCATAGTTTTTTAGCTGGTTAAATCCAGTGAGTTTCTTGGACATAAGCTATATCAATGTGCTTTTGGCACAAAGTATGGTACAACTGGCCTCTCTTTTGCGGAATGTTTAGGCCCTGAGCATTGATTTCCTCTCCGTCCACCAATCTGAATATATCTATGTTCTGTAATCCTTATAAAAATAGTAACATAGACAAAATATAAAACATCCATTCCACATTCACACAAAAACACCTTATCTTCTGTCTTTATCCTTCATTATTCCCTTATTCTGCCCAACTCCTCACTCCCTCCTCCCATCTGTTTCTTAATTTTCAGGGGGAAAAAACAAGAATAAACAATACTTACGGTATATACTATTATTTACAAAAACTTTTTCTTTCTTTTCCCTTATTCCCTTTTGTATTCATATTACTACTGTAAAAAGGACAAGATTTTCTACCCTCTTTAATCCCTTTTCTTCTAGTTTCCTTTTTTATGTTTTAAGTGTATTTCTAATCTATAAAAAATTGTTAATATTCTTTCATTAAATTAACTTCAGATTGCGTATTCCTTTCAACAATATTGTGATGAGTACTTTATTTTTGTCTATTACTTTTTATCCACACACATTGATGTTTATAAACAAGACTTATTTTCTTTTCTCCAGTGTTATTTTAATAATTTTTGGAGGGAATCACCTACTACCTCTAATTATCACGTGTATTCGTATCCCCCTCTTTTGTCCCTTCCCTTCTCCTTCCTTTTAAATTGTTTAATGTAATGTGTATAACTAACTGTTTTTCCCCTTTACTTTCCATATTTCTCTCTTTTTAAATAAAAAAGTGTTAATAAACTTTCATTCAATTTACATCTAATTGGTGTGTGACAGACCTTCTCTGTCTTTAAATTACTTTTATTTCTCCTTTATGTGTCTGTTTGTTCGGCTATTTCCTTGTCCGTACGGCCCCTACGTTCCCCATTTTACCGAAAGAACTGCCGAATGGCCGGCCACCCAGCATGGAAGGGTGCTGCTTGTTAACCTCTTGGCCTCATTAGAACGTTGTGGTTAACCGCAGACACTTCCTAATTGTCGAATGTTGGCTGGGTGGTGATCGTTCGTATGAACGAACACATAGCGGCGGCCATCTTGGACATATGAGACAGCCACTAGAGGCTTTAGAGGCTGGATTAACCCATTTATAAACATAGCAGTTTCTCTGAAACTGCTATGTTTATTAAAAAAATGGGTTAATCCTAGCTGGACCAGGTACCCAGACTACTTCATTAAGCTAAAGTGGTCTGGGTGCCTAGAGTGGTCCTTTAATATTTGTAATATTTTATTTAGTTATTTCAGTATTACTATTTGATTTTATGATTACTTATTAAATTTCATTGTTATATATGTATATATATAATTTTCTCTTTTTAGCTTGTTTTATTTTCTTTCTGATTTCCATGGGTCCATTGTTTTTTAATAGGGCTCAGGGACGTCTGCAGGGAGTTCTGGTGCCCTGTTCGGCGCTTTCGCACCATTTTTAATCACTTCTAACCCACCAACCGCCATTTACTGGATTTGAACGCACGCATTACATTTGAATAAAACTGTTTGGGAGTTTCTTCCTGCAAACACATAGGACGCCTCATACGAACTGCTTATTTGTATGTTTGCCGCAAATGCTCTATTAGTCCACAAACACATCCCTGGTTCTCCTACTTTGATTTGTGTGTTTTGCCATTCGCGGCAGCCATTTTCTTTTTTTCTGGCGTCCTGACCGTAGTACTGCCCCCCAACGGCTGCAACTCGGAGTTGGGGTGTAGTTTTAGTGGCGCTCGGACGGCTCTGGTTTTCCTGCTTATAATTACTACTGTTTTCACTTTCTGTGAGTAAAACAATTTTCCTTTCCACTACATCCTCTATTTCTGGGTTAATCAACCCTTCATCTAGGCTATATTTGGTATTATATTTTGTATTATTGCACCTGTCAGTTCTACACATAATCAAAATGCCATCTGACAAAGATGCTTCAGAACCCAGTCAGGTTGGTTTTGATGCACCTTCAGGTGCGTCTGGAGATGGAGCAGTTTTCTCAGCTGAGTTTGATGCTTCGGCTGAAATTCAGACCCTGATTGACAATTCTACGTCAAAAGCCATGACTAAAACCATAATGTCGGCTATGGGAGTAATGTCTGACTCCCTCTCACAGACATTTGCACAAACCTGGATTCAGGCACAGAGATCGGTTCAGCTGACTACTACCCAGGCTTTACCTTTAACGACTCCTGTGCATCCTCATTATGGCCACAAAACCCTTGCTAAGGTTAAGCATTTCTCAATATTACAGATGGGCAGCTTTACACCTGTCACAGATGGTGCGATTAATGTACCACTGCGCAAAAGAGCCACAAGTCGGGAAAAATCGGCTAGACTATGGAAGAGGGCAAAAGCCCAATTAGTCAGATCTCAGCAATATTGAGGAGGAGACCTGTATGGACAATTCGGAGGATCCATAGGATCCTGATTCTGACATTGGAGTTGAGGAATCTGGCCCTTCCCAAGACCCTAGTACGGTTAAAACCGTTAAAATGGACATAGAACATGGGGCCTCAGGGGACACAGGTAAGGTTTTGGATCCCCATGGTGAACCCCTATTTGACCCCGATGATCTGCGCCACCCATGGTCAGCAGAATGGTTTCCCTCAGACCACGTAGCCAGATATATAGCGTCATGAGTATGCAAGCCTTTATATAAGGCGACCCAAAATAAATTGCGAGCAGAATGCCCACACCCTATGGTCCCAGATGACGCTTTCAGGACACCTGTAGTTGACCCAAAAATTATTCAATTCCTGGGGAAGACGGGCTGGAAGCCTAATAAAGGCCTATATTTTTCCTTGCGCATCTTGGACACCTTGGGCCCGGCAACCAAGATATTTGAAGTGGTTGAAGATGACCGAGAGCTAGATCGTTCCGCCATAAGTGGTTGAATCCAAAGAGTAATTTGCTTAATTGTCAATGCCAACACTGCGATGGCCACAGAGCGTCGCAAATCTATAATACTGAAAATTGAACCAAAACTGGTAAACATGGCTCTGAACGAGCTGGGCGCTCAAGCCAAGGGTCTCCTTTTCGGAGACAATTTTGTCAAAGAGCTTGGTTCCTTTGTACATACGTTCACTGCTCTGGATAAAGCACAAACAAATATGCGCAAAGTGTTTAACCCTAGGGTTTTTGGTGGGGCCGGAAGAGATAGGAGCCATTTGTCCGGCCATGTTAACAGATGTTTGTTTAGGCAGAACCGAGGCTCCTATACAGGGCGGGCCAGTTTCCTGGAACACCGCAATACTCCAGCCTTCTTCCCACAGTGTGGGAGACCCTGGGTTGCTCGTGGATCATGAGGTGCTCACTCAGGATGACGACCTTGTGGTAAGTTCTCTCAATTTTCATTCTTCCTTATTGGCAGTGGGGGGCAGACTCTTAAATTTTTTCCATGTATGGTCTCTCATTTCATCAGATACTTGGGTATTAAACACTATGAAATGGTATTTCATAGATTTCCTGTCTCTGTCAGTACAATATTCCCCACCGAGGGAAATTGATTTTTCCTGACAAGATGCAAACCTTGTCACCAAGAAAATATTGGATCTGCGGCACAAACAAGCCATCAATGTTGACACCGGGCTATGTGAGCAACCTATTCCTGGTTGCCAAAAAAGGCAGAGGTGTGCACCCAGTGATAAATTTGAGGCAACTCAATGCTTATGTAACCTACAACCATTTCAAGATGGAAGGAATACATTGTTTACGAGATCTTCTCCAACTGTCGGACTGGATGGCGAAGTTAGATCTTCAAGATGCCTATTTCACAGTGCCGATTGCATTACAACACCAAGGCTTCCTGCAGTTTATGTGGCAAGGAAGGAAATGGAGGTTCACATGCCTCCCATTCGGACTGTCTTCAGCCACGTGGTGCTTCACCAAACTCATGAAGAGCGTGATCGCTCTACTATGGAGTTGAGCAGTACGTCTCATAATATACTTAGATGACATTCTCATCCTGGCTCAATCTATTCAACTCATCAAGACCCATCTGAACTTGACTTTGACTCTTTTGCAGAATCTAGGCTTCCTAATCAATTGGGAAAAGTCCATCTTGGTTCCCACACAACGCATAGAATTTTTGGGTCTCATTGTAGATTCTGCTCTTTAGACCCTGCACCTTCCAATGACAAAACTGACTAGTATCAAGAAGGAAATCAGGCACATGCTGGCCGCCCCTCAACTTACTCTTAAACAATTGGCGAGAATGATTTTTCTCCTGGCGGCTTCCATACAAGCCATTTTTCTAGGCCCTCTTCACTATCGAGCCCTACAATGCTTACAGACCTCCCATCTGAAGGACGGCGTAACCTACACAGATACGATCACTCTGGACTCGGAGGCGAAAGACGAACTGAAATGGTGGCTTCTTCACATGGCAGCTTGGAACGGTCGCGCCATTTTCGGTGCAGCAGCAGATTTAATCATAGAATGTGATGCGTGTTTACACGGTTGGGGTGCTCGCTGTGGAAATGTCTCTACTGATTGCAGATGGTCCGATTTGGAATCGTACCTCCACATCAATTGCCTGGAACTCCTGGCCGGTTCTTTTGCAATCCGCAGTTTCTCCTCAATTTAGGCTCAGTGCTCTATCCTCCTGAAGATGGACAATATATCAGCTGTCCGTTACATCAACCACCTAGGAGGCACGAAATTGAAGGTCCTAGCGAACACGGCAGTTCTGCCTGGCACAAGTAATTTCCGTTACCGTGGAATATATTCCCTCTCTCTGCAACACCACAGCGGATTAGCACTCACGACAGAGACCCCAGTGATTGGCATCTGGATTCCAGGGTCTTTTAAGACATCCAGTATCTATGGGGCCTTCTGGCCAAAGACCTTTTCGCTTCCCGCTTGAATACACAACTTCCCAGGTTCTTCAGTTGGAGACCGGGCCCATCAGCATTAGCAACAGATGCTTTTACCCAAGACTGGTTGTCTGCAAGGAACTATGCATTTCCACCCTTTGCATTGATTCCCCGTTACCTGCTGCAGCTATGGTGCCAGTCCAGAACTCTAGTTATTGTGGCTCCCTTGTGGCCATCCCAGCCATGGTTTCCTCCTCTCCTAGAGATTGCTATCAATTTGCCCCATCTGCTTCCATCCCTCGACTGCTTGCTTCAGGATCCAGACGGAATGTTCCATCCCCTTGTTTAGCATGGCCTTCTACATCTCATGGTGTGGCTGATTTCATGGGACCTTGGTCAATCGAGGGTGTTTCGGAATCAACAATCCACCTTCTCAAGGGTGCATGGGAACCCGTCACGAGACAGGGTTTCATCCCTGGTGATGCTTTGCCAGGCCTCTACTGCATCTGTCTTCAGATCCTTCTTGTTCTTGTTCTTGGGGGCATTTTCCCTTCAGTTTTGTCTTCATCAAGTGAAATACATGCTCAATCGGATTCAGGTCAGGTGATTGACTTGGCCATTGCATAACATTCCACTTCTTTCCCTTAAAAAACTCTTTGGTTGCTTTTGCAGTATGCTTCAGGTCATTGTCCATCTGCACTGTGAAGCACCGTCCAATGAGTTCTGAAGCATTTGGCTGAATATGAGCAGATAATATTGCCCGAAACATTTTTCATCCTGCTGCTTTTGTCAGCAGTCACATCATCAATAAATACAAGAGAACCAGTTCCATTGGCAGCCATACATACCCACGCCATGACACTACCACCACCATGCTTCACTGATGAGGTGGTATGCTTTGGATCATGAGCAGTTCCTTTCCTTCTCCATACTCTTCTCTTCCCATCACTCTGGTACAAGTTGATCTTGGTCTCATCTGTCCATAGGATGTTGTTCAGAACTGTGAAGGCTTTTTTAGATGTTGTTTGGCAAACTCTAATCTGGCCTTCCTGTTTTTGAGGCTCACCAATGGTTTACATCTTGTTGTGAACCCTCTGTATTCACTCTGGTGAAGTCTTCTCGATTGTTGACTTTGACACACATACACCTACCTCCTGGAGAGTGTTCTTGATCTGGCCAACTGTTGTGGAGGGTGTTTTCTTCACCAGGGAAAGAATTCTTTGGTCATCCACCACAGTTGTTTACCGTGGTCTTCCGGGTGTTTTGGTGTTGTTGAGCTCACCGGTGAGTTCTTTCTTTTTAAGGATGTTCCAAACAGTTGATTTGGCCACACCTAATGTTTTGCCATCTCTCTGATGGGTTTGTTTAGTTTTTTCAGCCTAATGATGGTTTGCTTCACTGATAGTAACAGCTCTTTGGATCTCATATTGAGAGTTGACAGCACCAGATTCCAAATGCAAATAGCACACTTGAAATGAACTCTGGACCTTTTATCTTCTCCTTGTAAATGGGATAATGAGGGAATAACACACACCTGGCCAGGGGAGGGCTGGCAGCCTTAGGCCTGGAGGGCAAAACCAGTCAAGTGGCCCATTGCACCACCAAATCAGTTCACCATCCATGCCCACCTTTTCCTGGTTTTATAACGGATATTGATGTTATGCTAATCAGTAGCTCTTTGACATACCCGCTCCTTCACGGCTCCAGGCACTGCTTGTTGTGAGTGTGAGCCACTGTAAATTAGGGGCAGAGGGCACTTGCACTGCGGTAAAGATGGGGCTGGACAGGAGGAGAGTGCAGTGCAATCAGTGCACTCCCCTCCTGTGGGTCACCAGTAGACTGGTGCACCTGCCCAGGATCAGAGCCGGTGCAAGGATTTTTGCCGCCCTAGACAAAATAAAAATTTGCTGCCCCCCCATGTGACATCACAATGCCCCACCCATATGAACTAACGCCAGTGCTGCACACAGTGTGTGTTTACATTAAAAAGCCTGCAGGGACCAGCTATAGACACCAGAACCACTTCATTAAGCTATAGTGTCCCTTTAATGTGAGGTACATTATAGATTAGTGTCACTAATAATATACTAGATTGCCTACTTACAAGCAGATGAGGATGATGGGCTGCAGTTTGGCTCCACTGGTCTGGTGTAGAACAGGATCTCTGGAGGCTGTTTGCAACTGTGGTCACAAAATTCAATGTTCTGGGAGAATTGGAAGCAGCTCCATTTTTGGGGCCCCTTACACAGCTCAAAGTCTGGGCCCCAGGGCCTGATGGTGAGTATGCCCATAAGGCCCACTCATAAATTCCACCCACCCATGAGTTCGCTCACAGGGAGTGGAGTGTGTAGGGGATGTGTTATGTGTTATTGTAGAGGATCTAATATGTGTGCTTATGGTATGTAGTGTATAGGGTTACCAGTTTGTGCAGGTGATGTAGTGTGTTTGTGTGTAGTGGAAGCAGTGTGTATTTGTGTATAAGGGATGTATTATGTGTTTCTGGTTGTGTGTAAGGGATGCATTGTGTGAATCTGTGTTTGTATGCATAAGGGATGCAAAGTGTGTGTCT